TTCTGTGATGCCAAGTCATAAATAGATAAGACAATGAAAGATCTCTTGCCTAAGTGAAACATCCAATGCACTTTTCCTTTTCTAGTGTTGATAGGGCGTTAACCCCGCCATAAATTTTAGATGTGTTTACTTTATTTGTACGTTTTGCATGCATGAATGTATGTGCCTCATATATATGATTGTGTCTATGGAAGCCAGAAGAGGGCATTGGATCTCCTGGAACTGGAGTTATGATTGGTTGTGAGCCGCCATGTGGTTGCTGGGAATCAAACCCTGATTTTCTGCAAGAAAAGTAACTGTTCTAAACTGCTGATCCATTTCTCTAGATCCTCGGCTGATATTCACACACAACTTGGGTGAACCCAAAAGAGTAAGAGTTACATGCCTATAACCACTCCAAACCATATCTTCCTCCTCTGTGAAATGTAGGTCATGGTGTGCTTCCTCAATTGAGTTGTTATAAAGGACAAAAGAGGTATGTTATGAGCACTTTCCTGCCAGCCTGGTCCCACAGCCTCATCAGCCTCAAATAATACAGAAACCCTGTATTAATTATAAAACTGTTGGCCAATTATGAGCATTTCTTATTGGCTAGCTCTGTCTTAGATATTAGCTCATTTCTACCAATGTGTTTCCACGTGGTCTTATCTTATGGAAGAGAGGGTCTGGACCTCTTACTCCTCTTCCTACATCTTGACTCCTCTCTACTATATTTCTTAGAATCCTTGTTCCCTAGTCCCCCCCCACTGCTTCCCTATAGGCCAACAGTGAGTTATTCATTAACCAATAAGAGACATTTACAGAATGACATCTCCCTTCAGAAGTAATGCCCGTTAAGCATTCACCACACCTTGAGCCATAACATGCAATTTTATTATAATTGTGGGACTGAGATGTGTGGCTTGGTTTTAATTACATATCATTTGTTTTCTGGTTGGCTTGTTCATATCTCATTTGCTTATTCTTTATCTATTTGTTAGAGAGTCTTGCACTGTCCTTGCCTTTAACTGGCTTAGTGTAGCCAGTTGTGCAGGGATTCATATCTGTGACTAGAAACCATATGGATGCTGTAGTAAAATTTTCGATTTTTCCTATGGACAACTGAATTTTCAAGATGTGATCCTTGGACAGCGATGCCCAGTTTTTGCTTCTGTGTTTGTCTCTGTGCCTTCCTTTCATGAACCCACCAAGCACACCGACTGGAGGTCTTGTTCCTGTTTCACTGTCTGAATGTTCTTGTGCTGTTTCTGTCCCTTGTCATATTCTAGGTGGAGCGCAGACAGCCATCTATCTGTGCATTCTCTCTAAGGGTTATCTTATTTCATTTTTCAGACATTTGTTCTATATATAATTACTTTGTTTTGCCTATTTTCCCATCCTTATCTGCTTTCACTGAATACAAGCTTCATCTTTGGGGGAATTTTTTTCAACTACTTACAGACTTTAAACTGCCTTTTCTGCTTGAGCTAGCCACGATGGCTTCAGTTGCTCACAGAAAAGAAAGCTGACTCTTCCAGGAGCCCGTGCAGATACGAGATACTCAGGAAATTGGGGTTGGTTACTTGGGTATAAGGTAGATTATTTTTGTCCTTTGTTTGTATCATTTTCATTAGTGAACACAGTACTCATCGTGTACTGTCCTAAGCATCTCACATGAACTGTTATCAAGTCCTCAGAATGTCCTCAGGTAGTTCAAGGTAAAGAGCCCCTTTATTACTAGCTCCACTGCCCAGTTAAGGACATAGACACAGCAATTCAGTGTGTCCATGGATGAGCAGCTCCCAGGTCAGAGGCCTTTATTCTTGCTAGTGCTGTAGGGAGGGAATCGTAGTAGTTGGCTGCTGGAGACTGGTGACCTGTGTGACAGGTGTGAAGACTAGTAAGGTCTTCATCTAGGTACTGTAGACTGCTAGACTCTTGGGTAGCTTCATGTTGCTCCTGCTGCAGAAAGACCAAAGAAGTTGGGGTTTGCTAGGTTGAGTGGACAATGAGAAAGAGTAGTAGCATTAGAAGTTTGTTATTTTATCATAAGAGTGTGACCTAAAACCCAAGGAAATGCTGTAATTAGGCTATCATTGTATTTGGTATCTAACAGCCATAGGGCTGGGTTCTCAACTGAGTCCATTCTTCAGCAGGAACTAAATCCATATCTTGCCAGATTCCATGCTTGAGAATGCAGACACAACTAGATGGGAGAGAGCAACAGTCAGAGCCAGATGAACAGGGCCAGGCAGCCAGCCCAAAACTAGCACTGAGCAGGACCAACCACTTACTAAAGCTATAAACAGGGAAACCCGATGTTTTTGCCCTAAAGGAAAGCAATCAGGAAGAATCCAATAAATACTGCACCGAGGGTTCAGGCAGGGATATCACTTCCCCATTTTCTCTCTCTCTCTCTCTCTCTCTCTCTCTCTCTCTCTCTCTCTCTCTCTCTCTCTCTCTCTCTCTCTGACACAGTAAGCTGTGTGAGGAGGTGGGACAGGAATTAATTAGGGGTATACTTGGAACAGGCAGCTGATTTGGCAGTGCTTTTATATGCCTAGCCAATATAAGGAAGTGTAGAGATTGGCTGGCCCAAGCACCTGGTTAGTTTAGAAACCACACTCTTAAACTGTGGGTCATGACATACAGGGTTACATACAAAATGTGAGGTTCACAGAAATTGACCACAGTAAAATGATTCTGAGTGTTAATGTTCTATCCAGGGAATGATCTGCAATAACTGTACCTTTGGTTTCAAATAAGTTTATTAAACAAAAGTAAAAGAACAGATAGCAAATAGCAGATAGCAAACATCAAATTTGCTTAACAGATCTGGAAAAAAAAAAGCCTGGAGTAGTGCAACTGTAAAGGCAAAGGAAAAGGAGAGAGCAAGTAGCAAGCAGTAGACACAACATCAGATTAGGTGTTCACAGCTTCCAACAGAAAGGGCTGAGGAAGACCTATAGAGTCAGCTAGCTGGGGTTTCTGCCTGAGAGGCCTAGGCAGAGCAGAGTGTTGCCCTCTAGGGAGGGTGAGGCTTCCAAGAACAACAAATAACCAGCAGTAGATAGATGGCAAAGCATCGTAAGCCAAACATGTGCAAGCTCCTGTAGAAACGCCTGGGAAACCCTGCTGAACAGTCATGCTGGAGTTTCCGATTGGGCGTCTCTCTATGGATGAAATTCCGGCTTCTTGTTTCCACCACAGGCATTTTTATACCATGGGATAACCTCTGCTGGAAATGCTTCACCTTCTAGCTGTTCTCAAGGACACATTGTGGTTCTTGTTGTTAAAGAGTTTATTCTGACGTGGTGTGTGTGTGTGTGTGTGTGTGTGTGTGTGTGTGTGTGTGTGTGTGTGTGTGTGTGTGGTCTCTATCTGTTTGGGGGTTGGGCATGCAAGTACAGTACCCATGGAAGACAAAAAAGCGTTAGCCCTGGAGCTGGAGTTACAGGCAGTCATAAGTCCCTAGGTGAGGGTCTTGGGAACCAAAATTGGGTTCTTTTCAAAAGCAGTACATGCTCTCAAGCACTGAGCAGTCTCTCCAGCCTGTGCAAGGCCTTTTTAATTAATACCTTAGCTATTTACTAATCTCCTCCCTCCCTATTACAGGGGCAGGGAGCCAACTGCCCCAGGACAATGAGTCTCAGAGAACTCTTGAGAGAAACCGAGACATTGGAGCCCACCTTGGACCTAGAGTCCACTGTCATCAAGTACAAATAGCACATGATGATTTTCTAATAGAGTTTATATTGTATCATAATGCCCAAGTATTAGTTTACAACCAAACACATAATGAATCTAAGGTTTCTCTAGCAGCATCAACATATTTCATTATGTGTGACCACTGCAGCTCTGGTTTTTGAACATACAACACTCTGTACTGTGCACACCATCACTTCACACAGTGCCAAAAAGTGCTGCCTGAAACACTGGTTCAGAGTTGAGACTTTTGTATGTTATGGATTAAAGTTTTCTCCCTTATAGACTTATATAAAATGGTTTAATTATGGAAAATAAAGACTTGAACATTTTTCCTACCACCATTCCTCAGCACATATGCACCCAGGTATATCTGTGGGATGTCCTGGGGTAGAGTATGCATTAGTTATTCTTCTTACTGCTCTGACAGATGCCTGACAGGAAGCCACACAGGAGAGAAGGCTGTGTTCTGGCTCACAGTTCAAGGGAAGACAGCCCGTCATGGCAGGAAGACATGTTAACAAGAGCGTGAGGCAGCAGTCATGGAATCCAGAGTCACTCAGGGAGCAGAGTGATGTATTCCTGCTTTTTATTTAGTTTAGGACATCAAGTTCAGGTGGGATTTTCCCACCCTTATTAATCTCATTCAGATAATTCCTCAAAGATATGCCAAGAGGCTTGTCTCCTACATCCTGTCAAGTGAATTCCCAGCACTGCATAAACCACACATGGTGAGACATTTCTGCCATCTCGGCATTCAGGAAGTGCAGGCAGAAGAATCAAAAGTTCAAGATCATTTTTACCCCACATAGTTTGATGCCAGATTTAGTATATATGAAAGAGAAGGAGGGAGGGAGAGACAGAGAGACAGAGACAGAGGGAGAAGGAGGCAAGGTCAGAAAGTAGAAAAGACCATTAAGCCCTGAATCAGAGGACCAACCATATTTGTGAGAATATTTGTCATGGTAGTAAGGATACTGCCCTTCTAATGAGGTAGTCATGAATGTTGTCACTCAACCAAAAATGGTAACAGCCTTTATAGGAACAGTGGTCTGTGAGGTACCCAGTAATCTATCTACCAATTGATTTCAAAAATCAAAATATAGACTTAAAGATGTGTAGAAGATTTTAAGTGTTATGCCTACTGGTAAGGGCCCTTAAGTTGGGAAGCAATGATAAAGTGTGTTCACTTCTTACAATAGTGTAGAATGGTGTACTTTCATTGAAGGTGAACTGTTAGTGAACATTATTTGTAGTCGTTTAATTGTCCTTTTATAGTAATCGGAGTGACCATGAGCTCTTGTGCTTTTCCCTAGCATACGTCTGTGGATGGATACACTGAAACACACATCCAGCCTACCAAATCAAGTAGCAGACAGAACATTCCCCGGTGTAGAAACTCCATTACATCTGCAACAGATGAGCAGCCTCACATTGGAAATTACCGCTTACAGAAAACAATAGGCAAGGGAAATTTTGCCAAAGTGAAATTGGCAAGACATGTTCTAACAGGTAGAGAGGTAAGTGTTCATGCCTTTTGATATTTGCCTGTATTTGCTCCAGAGTCTTACTAAAAGCTTTCTCATGGTTGATATTGAGGTACTTGTCCCTGGTGCACAGTGGGATGTATGCACATAGAGCATTTGCAGCCAGGTCGGCTTCATGGCAGAACTCCTCAGCATTTAACACTTAAGGAAAGACTCTACCTTATAGTGTCTCTTATAGACCAGGTGTGCTGCAGAATAGCTGAAGGCTGTCTCTTATGTGACCACCCCTGGTTACTGTTGCTACTCTGCATTTCTATGAATTACTACCCAGGCTAAGGTAGATGTAAATGTGTAGAAAACTGCTCACTAATTTTTATCTGTTTGAAGATGACATCAAGCTAATATTACTACTATACAGGTAATTTTTTAGATGACAAAAGAATTTACTTCCAAAATACCATTTGTTTGTTTAGTGAGGGTTGTCAGGACAGGGTCTCTTGAAGCCCAGACTGACTTTGAACTTGCTGCCCAGCTGAGGCTGACCTTGAAATGGGGGTCTTCCTGCTTCACTTTCTAAATGCTGGGATTATTGGCTTACATGAATGCATCCCACTAATCTTGTGTATTTGAAATTATTGTTGCACAGTAAAAATATATGTGCACCATAATTTATAGTGGGTACACAAGGTTAAAGACTATTCAATAAATATCTAAAGTTTTGTATAAGGAGTGGATTGTTTTTTTTTTTTATTTCAACCACAGAATGTTAGTAAGCTTTCACTCTGCTGTACACATAATGATACTGTAATCCCCTTGAGTGTCTGCCTTCTTGTCCATTCCATCCTAGGAGCTGCTCAGACACAGGCAGAGCCTTCCAAGATTCAAAAATCCCTGTTGTTAGTTTGCTATTAGAAAGTCTGTGTGTCCAGTTTCTCTACATGCACAATAGTTTCATTTTCAAAAAATACAAGTTTAAAAGCCACTCTACCCTATAATGTTACCTATCAGGATTTTGAGAAAAAGATTAAAATAGAGGATTATGTTTACAGTTTTAAAAGGGAAAAATGTCGAAGAAATAGCAAACACTTAATCCATTGATACAGAATCAGGAGGTTAATGACAAGTCATTAAACTATGTTCTAAGGCTAATAGATCATCAATACCATGCCTTCGTATTGTGTGAGCATCCACATAGAAGTAAATGGTTCATAGTTAAGAGTGAAGCAAAATGTTTTCTTTGCAGGGTTTTATTCATTCCTCTCAAATATAGTGTAACAACTCTCTTTTTTTTAGGTGGCTGTGAAAATAATAGACAAGACTCAGCTAAACCCTACCAGTCTACAGAAGGTATTTAACTAATTTAATAAGTAATGTCAGTTTTTGTTAATGTGTAATTCTGTAAAGTCAAGCATGGAATTTTTGTTAGGTTCAACATTATATTTTATCAGTATATTATGAAAAGACAAGATCTAATATGTAATGATTATGACTGATTATAAAGAGGTTTCAAATGTGTCTAATGAGAGTTGAGCATGGTGTACTCAAAATACTTGGAGGTAAGTGTTTGGGACTTTATTGATTCTTAGATTTGAGAATATTTGCATAGGCTCTAGTAAGATATATGTATCATATGAATGCCCTTTAATTCGTAGGATTAGATTGTGATCATATCACGTATCATATATTGTGAAATATTTTATTCATATGTGTGTGTGTATGTGTGTTTGTGTATGTATTGCACATACCTGTGTGTGAGTGTAGAGCACTTCTGGGATGTCAGATCCCTCTGTGCTGGAGGTAGAACTGTTTGCAGGATGTCTTGTGTATGCTGGGTCCAGACTCTGATCACCATGGTTACACTGCTAACAATAAGTGCTGTTCACCTCTGAGCCATCGCTCCCGCCCTAAGTTTTGAAGTACACAGAATTCTTCTTAGTAAAAGCCTAGTTCTGAGTAATATTTTCCATAGGTGTACCTTTTTCACTGTTTCATTTGACTCTTCTTTCATGCAAACCCATCTTAGAAGTCATAGTAGACAGTATTCCATCAATGGGTGGAAAGAAAGCAGGGATGGGGACAAAAAAGCAGTTAGGCCTGGGATCATTTAGTAGCCAAAGCTGTTTACTCTATTAAGTACTCCAGTGTAAGCTATATAATACCCATTGTGATTTCAGTAGCCTATAATAGTATCAGATTTATAAATGTAAAAGTCACATAAGTGACTTTGGACTCCTAAAAGAGTCTTACAAGAAATTCTTGGTTTGCCGTTTCCCTACACTTCCATGATTGTAGTGAACCAGGGTCTTCTTCCACTGGACTCCATGGCGTGGGCATGCCTGTGGTGTTTTTAGGCATTTCTCCGTGGAGATCTATCTCTATACTTTCATGGGTTCCTTTTAAGTTAGACAGCCAGTAAATTTCTCAGCGCTGATACAACAGGCCTCATGTTTGCTGGATTCTCTTCCTGAGAAATCTGTTAGTGCAGGCTCTTGTGATATAGTCCTGGGAACAGTCTAGCGTCCATCCTACCTGGATACAGCTGTGGGAATGACAGAAGGTTCCCTCTCTGGGCTGAAGATGCTCATGCCGTTCTGGACTGAAGCCTCCGTGGAATGGAAATTTAACTCACCCATGTGAGTTAAATACAGTTGCCAAACTGCACTCTGGCCTTGGCCACCTCCCAACCATATTTTGTACTTTTCATGGATTGCACCATGGCAAGTGGAGTGATTTTAAGAGACATTTGAAACTTCTTCCAGGATACCCTGTAGTGTGATACCCCATTTGGTCTTTCCCAGCAGAGCCAAGTGAAGGTCATATAACATTAATTATGCTAGTTGGAACATGTGGCCATGAAGCTGATCATTGCCTTATTTTTCTGAATAACTGATATCTGCTTGCTGATGGAAATGTCTGTGAAGAGCTTGGAAATCTTTCCTAAGGTGTTGCTTTTGCATCAGCAGCATCTCCCAGTCAGTCATATCTCAAAATCAAGAGTGCAGAGAGCAAGCCATTTGCTTTCCCCTGCATTGTCAGTTAAGTCCTGCAGGCAAAACCGTCAGGATGACTCCATGGTGTTGGCATGCCTGTGGCACAGAAGGTGAAGACAGGATGCAGGTTCTTGGTCTCATTTTTGGAAGCACTTGACTAAATCATGATTTGGTCTGAATGTAAGCTAATTTCTCCTCTTTAATTCCCTTACATGTTTGTAGGAAATATTGCCTTCCTTTTCCGACATCCCTGATAGATAAAAGAATCTAAATATGAGGTCCTAGCTGTTTAAAACCTCTCAAATATGAAGTTCTTTTTAGAATATGAAGTCCTTAAAAAACAGTTTGGCCTTTGGGAGTGTGTCTTCAGTGTCATTCACATGCTGGGCTTATCTCGTTTGTTTTACATCAGTGGTGAGCTCCAGGATAGGCAGAGAGACCCTGTCTTTAAAAAAAATAAAATAAACGTTGGGGAGTTTTTCTTGTTGTTGTTGTTTTGTTTTGTTTTTTCAAGACAAGATTTCTCTGCATTACCCTGGTTGGAATTTGTTCTGTAGACCAGGTTGGCTTTGAACTCAGAGATCTGCCTACCTCTGCCTCCCAAGTGCTGGATGGTGTGCTACCACCACCACCTGGCATAATAAAATATAAAAATAAATAAAAATAAAAGGACTCTAGTCATGTCATGTTTGAATGTCTGAGTGTGATAAACTCAGCAAGCTCGAGTTTGCCTGGCAGCTGTCTGCTGTCTTCAGGGAGAAATTGCTCCATAAGATTGGATTTGGCCTTACATATTTCCAGGGTTGTCTGGAACATCCCCCTGATGCTTATTCTGTACCCCTGTTGGTATATGGTTGTGAATTTTCCATCTGGTAGAAAGAAGTAAAATACAGCTCAGAAGAAAGGCAGCAATTAGAAGTGAAACTGTGTTGCAGTTCAAACGAAATGTCACCAAGCCAGTGCACACGCTCATTCATTAATTCTTGATTCAACAAATGTTTATTCAAAGATTTTGTTTCTCCGTATGTTTTCTTCTGATCTTTTCAGCTTCTCCCTTCTTGCTTCCTTTTAATGAGGTCATTGTCCTGACTGTTCCATGGAAAGCTCTGAAAGGCTTATGTATATATAGGATTCTCCCTCTAAACTCTCTTCTTAAACTGACCAAAGGTAACCAGGTATAAATCTTTACCTATTAGTGAACTCTGAGTTTATCTCTTCACCTCAGACTACTCTTGGATGTCCTTGTAATCTTCTCACCTCATCATCCTATGACCTCTTGTGAACAGCAGCTTGCCCCCAGATTGTGTAAGCGACAAACCTCAGAAGCATCCTGGCTCATCCTTTGTCTTCATGCTCTCCTGAATCTACGTTTCTTCCACGTGACCCGAATGTGTTCTGTCCTGTCCTGCATGTCTTTCTGCACACATGTATTTAATATGCTGGCCTGTGGTTACAATTTTAGGAGTTCCGTTTTTGCTAGCCTAAGAGTTAGATTTACTAACATGTTACTGACAGCCACACCTTCCTCTCTGCCTCAAGGACTATCAACTTGTACAGTTCTTCCCCTCCCCCTCATGCTCCATTCCCCCAGCTTCAGGGTTCATCTGACCCTCCTTGTGCTCTTTATTCTAGCTCCCTGGCCTTTGCAGCTTTCCATCCCTTCCTTTGGCTGTCACTAACTCCCCTCCTCCCTTCTCCTTAGATGTTCCTCACTTCCTCAGAGAGCTCTTTCCTGTTCTCCACGGCAGTTTTGAATCCTCTTTCTGCCCTAGGATCAGGCACTCATAACTAAAGAGCTATTTGGTATGAGGCAGTAGTTTCTTTTTAAGCCAGCATCCTGTAAACCCTAAAACTTCTGATTGCTGGGCATTTATTAACTATGGAATATGTATCCATTTCTACTGTGGAAGAATTCTCTTTGGGGGGAAGTTGAAGAGGCTAGGAGTATTGACGTCACCTCTGAACTTTAGCTTGCCTGTTTTAAAGGTTACAATCCATGTAGTACTTGTGAGAGTCTTCCCCCCCCCCCACAGATGACCAGACATGTGAGCTTCTTCCTTGCAACTCCAGAGGCCTACTAGGCTCTTGAGACTCATCTTCCCCTTGCCTCCATCTAGGTCCCCTTTCCATCCCATGAGCCTGCCCAGCATCTTGGGTCTGGTCCACAAATCAGGTCCTACCGTCCTCCAGGACCCCTCCCCTGTCCCTAGGATAGGCTCTTCTGGCCCTGTAAGCAGTCCATCGCCTTTGTAGTCTGCCTTCTCTGAGCTGCTGGATAGGCCATTGCTCTGCTCCAGGTTACTAGGCTAGCCTGCACTATACAGAGAGCTATAGGCTACTGTGGATGACATGAAACCCTTCTCTAAACAACCCAAGCAAAGCAGAAAACAAGGACACAAAAAGAAGTTAACTTAAATTTTTATAGTGCTACTAGTGGTTCTATAAAATATCTGACTAAATTGATATCTCAGTAAGGTGTTCTGTTAACATAGACACAGCATATGTATAATTTCTCAGTGAGTGAGTCTTCCAGTGAGTCTAGGAACAAAGTGTCTCCTGCAGGGTAAAGCAGACCCACGCCTCAGTTCACTGATTGGCCAAAAGTGCTGCCTGCCAATGATGCAGACATGATTGCAGAGTTTCCAGTTTCCTGTCCTCTTAAACTCCTGTCAGATGAAGTACTTGAAAAGCTAAGCAGGCTGTTCTGAAAGATACCAGATCTACACAGCCTCTCCTTCCCCAGACCCTGTTTACTGAGACTGAAGTCATCCTGGAAAAGCAAGTTACCTGTGACACAGAGTCATCCTGTCTTCAAGACAAGCAAGCCACAGAGAGGCTCCCACATGAAGGACAAGCAAGCCACAGGGTGGCTTTGACATAAGGAGGCTACAGAGAGGTCTACATGAGGAGGCCACGGAGAGGCTCTGACATGAGACCACATGAGCAGGCCACAGAGAAGCTCCAATATGTGGAAGCCACAGGTACAGGCAGTATGACAGCAGGTCTGATAGAAAGCAGATACACAGTCTGACCCTGGACTAGAGGCTTTTCATAGAATTTGGATGATGGGCGACTAGGCCACATCCAGTCCACTAGGTTAAATACAACACATTTTTTCCCCACCATACAAAACAGAAGAAATGAAAGAGATTGGAAGGGACAGAAATTGTTGAGAAGAGAAAAAGAAGTCTCCAAAAGAACACTGATTGACACCATGGAACTTGACTGGTTCTGACCTCAACCCTGACCAGGAAGATTGAACAGACCAGTGTCCTTCCACAAAACTGCAGATCCCTTGGTGACCTCAGCTTCCTGGAACAAAGCCAGGAATCTAGAAGGAAGCAATAACAGCCCTGA